CATTGATACTGTGCAAATTCCACAACTACACATTGATAAACTGTACAAATTCCACAACTACACATTGATAAACTGTACAAATTCCACAACTACACATTGATAAACTGTACAAATTCAACAACTACACATTGATAAACTGTACAAATTCCACAACTACACATTGATAAACTGTACAAATTCAACAACTACACATTGATAAACTGTACAAATTCGACAACTACACATTGATAAACTGTACAAATTCAACAACTACACATTGATAAACTGTACAAATTCAACAACTACACATTGATAAACTGTACAAAGTCAACAACTACACATTGATAAACTGTACGGAAGCATTCAAACAAGGTGTAATGGTCTTTGTAAAGCAAAGGGACCAAACAAAGTAATTAATGCTTTGGACAAACTGTTTGGTTTTCCTTTATATTTTATGTGATAGTGTTTTGTGTCATTACTAAATCCATCATCTAATTTCCACCACTAGTCTGTGGCTAGTGTATGTATATCGTTTTTGTGCTTGCATAATTAGTGACATTAATGTATATATATAAATATTGATATTAAGTTTACTATGCGATCAGTTTTATTGTTTAAAGCATAATTTACTTAACAGACAGACAGGACACAACTGTTTTATTGGATGATTTATAACCTTTTTTTACACCTAAGTGCAAACTGTACACACGCATACATGTTCATCATCACACGAAAACAATTTTGAAGTTTGGGTTTTCACTGTAATTATTAAGATTTATATAGAGAGGCAAAATTATTATCATATTTTTACTACAATCCAAAGGCTACGTGTTTGAGAGACGATAATATTACAGTGAAAATTAACAAGGCTACATATGTATATTCATTTACAATCTTATGCTAATCTTGGACGAGACTAAGAAGATACCAATAACATATCGTTATATTCAAGTACGGTAACATCTGCAGAATGAGGTTAACTAAATAATAAAAACATATATATATATATACAAACGATATGTTACAGCAATTTTAAGTATCAAGATCAATACGTATGCTTAAATATTGAGGTAACGGTCATAATAACTTTATGAATGTTTTACAAATTATAGAGTGTTTGAGAACACAAAAAACTGTAAGTTATCTAAATGTTCGAAACAAAATAATTCAGAATGATAACAATAAAAACATTATTAATGTGACTTATGGGTAAAATTATGTTCTGTAGTAAGTTTATACAACACCAGTAAACTACAAACAAGGTATACACAAGCAGTGTATTAATGTTTGCTTAAGTTATCTGTTATGAACTTTTTAACAAGTTTCATCGTAACAAATTGTTCTAAAAAAGACATTGAAATGCATATACAATGCTTGCAAAAGCTTGATACAATATTGTAGATAACACACTAAGCATGAAGTGTAAGACGTCAGTTCAATAATTACGAAAACCAGCTAGATTCTGAAACCCGAAACAAAATATTTGTATGAAAAATAAGCAAATATATAAATATAGTTTTAAGACATGAATTCATATTTTTGTTAATAGTTTGATAAGCATCAGTTGGTTGATTTTTTTTTTGCTTTTTACTCAATGCCAACCCTAACAAGGAAGGCTATTAAAAAAGTAAGCAATCAAACAAATGCATACTTTTTTGGAATAATAATGAACATTTAAAGCAAGATAATAGATGATAAAACATTAGAGATAACTAGTTAATCAAGTTGGACAATATTCCTTCTGAGAAGGCGAGTTTTTTCTTAACAAAATCAAACTATCTTGGTAATGGTTTCGACTATAAAATAAACATAAACGCTATGTAGGTTTTCGCAACTTTTATTAAATTTTTTGCACGTGTTTTGTAAACTTTAGTAACCTTCTGATGTCAATAAGTTATTTTAACTTTGTTGTACCGGTCCAGTAATTTGTATTAAGTTTCTTGTACAAGTTTCGTAGCTTTTATTAATTTTCTGAAACTGGTTTCTTAAGTAGTATAATTTTTTTAAATAAATAATAACTAAGAATAACTTCCACGAAGTTTACCAACGATATTTAGATAAAATTGCTTGTTTAGAACAAAGCCACATCAAGCTATCTACCGTGTCCACCGAGGGGAATTGAATCCTTAATTTGAACGTTGTAAATCTGAAGACTTACTTACCACTATCCCGCCAGGGGATATTTGTTGCTCTCCCACGTTGCTTATAATATATATATTTTCATTTACAGTTCACACACACATGCTAATTAAATTAACGATTTAACGCCAATCTTATACGATTTTAAAGTTGTTTCATTAACTTAAACTGGAGAGTAGCAAACGGCTTGTAAAACTGGTACAGGAAGTGTAATTAAAACGTTTTAAAAATATGCAACGTTTGTGCATTGTATGTATATATTGAAAACTTTCAAATAAAATTAATAGCACACCAGGAATGCAACAAATATCACTTAAAAGTTAAACACACCTTTCACTTTTGAGTTTCATTTCCTTATTCATCAATAAATCTGTAAATATATTTAGAAGTATTTATCATCTAATGCTGGCAATATTATTTTTTTTTATTCGTTGAACGGAGATACTTTGAAATTCCTAAAATCTACGTAAGATCATAATTTAGGCAACGAAATTTTTATTTATGTAAAGTACTTCTGGTCTAGATCCTATGCTTCGCTCAATTTTTTTTTATAAAGGTTTACCAGTCTTGGCACCTGATTTTCAACATATTAGCCAAGTCATATTAGTCACGAGTTAAATATATATATAGTATGAAACTCAAAAGTGTTGACCTAATGTAGTTCCCAATTACCGAAATTGTGTCTGTGTGTATATATATATCTGTCAAAAGAGCTGAAATGCACAAAAAAGATGTGAAAATAATGGAATAAAATCAAATCATTGTAGAAACACAAAGTTGAAACAGCAACATACAAAACAACGTTGGAATAGAAACAAATATATTTCTATTTCAACGTGGTTTTTTTTTTACATTAATTATACTTGGTTTTACAATATACAGCGCCATCTATTGTCTCATAAAGACGTATATTTAGAAACCATATAACGTGTTGTACGTAAGGTTTTATGAACGTTTTAGCAGGCATAAAGTGATAATTAAGAACGAAACTGGAATTATAATTGGTTGTGGTTGTTTAAAACGTCACAAAATTTCTATGGGTAATAAATCATCTTTCTTTTGACTCACAAAAAAAAAACATGATTTATCTGCACAAGGGAAAAAAAACCGGAAAAAATCAGGTATTTTAGTATTCTAATTTTATTGATTGATGCGTATTATAAATTTCATTTGAATACAAAGAGTAGTACCAGCTTTTTTATACCAAAGTGAATATGAGTACTACGTTTGATGTTCTTTTTTCATCATTTTTAATTGAGTTATGATGCTTTTTGGTGTGTCAGGGTTGAAGGCCACGAAACCCTTCCATAAATAATGAATGACCGAATGTATAAGGACCAAATAAGATTAGTAAATAGATAATTAGCACAATATTACACATTTTTATAATCTTCTGATGCATTTCTTTGGCAATATATAAAAGATTTTCTGAGGTGTTTTTTTTCTTATTGTTGGTTTTTATATCACTTATACATACATATATAGTTGTGTCATGTTTGTGTAGAGACAGTGTACAACTGAGTAAATAAGAATACAAAGTTTAGCAATACATTAACCAAGTAATCCATATTTAAAAGTGCTTAGTTGCCCTAACTAGATAACAAACAGAATAAAAAATATTTTTTTTAAGTGGAATTATTGATCGATTGCTAGAATACATAAACACGTCAAAAATGATATCATACTCTCAGTCTTTACTCATAAGCCACCTACAAAAAGTACAAAAAATGTAGTACTTTTGTTTTTAAACATTTATTTAAAACATTTAACGCTGTTTTAAATTACATGTGGTAATCCTGGATTTACACGTTTACTTAAAACATTTCGTGATATTTAAACCCGCATCTTTTAAGTATATAGTACTGATATACAAACTTACATATGTTTTAAGAAGGATAGTATATGATATTTTTCCTTAGTTACAGATTCCATCGCGCATGTTTTCCATCAAGTATACATTATAAACATGAAGTACACCATTCTACTATATAATGGAATGTATGTCAAAACTATAGTGGCAAATAGACATAATGTCTAAGTTTTTATCACTAGAGTTCAAGACACTGTCAAATCAGCGTCAAGCTTTTTTTCCAGTTGCAGCCTCGCTAGACTGGTTTGGTCAAACGTTTTACTGCTAATACGACGATCAGAGGAACAGGAAGAAAATAACTTCTGATTGGCTGAACACCATTTCCTTGTGCTGTAATACAAAATCATACATTAAAATAACGATGTATAGACTTTTATTATTCTTTTGGCTACATTAAAAGTAAGACTGTCTAAAGCAAACATCAACATAACCGAAGTATCTGTTACGTATCTGCTTGTTTGATAATTTCCCGTAAAAATTATTTCCGAGAAACTTCAGCGATACAAGTTCTTTCTTAATTAAAACTAGTTTATTCTTTCTCGTTACAAACTTTGTCATACACTTAATTTCCACAGTCACTTTAAACTTAACTACTTTTATAGACACACGCTATAAATCACAGTGATTCACACACTTTACTTACGGCTTGTCTCGAGTATCTCTATCCTCAATCTCTCTATCTATATCATTCCTGCTATATTTGCCGGGCTTATATACTAAAAAAGAGGGCGCATGGAACAGACTAGAGTTGCCAGGACAATTCAAGATTCTTCGAGAATTTCATAACGTGCTACCAGCGCCACGTGACTTCCGCTATCGTAACATATCGTTTCTAATTATTCATTCTACATGGGTAATTAGTGGCCGTTATAAATAAAAAAAACACATATTCTAGGAGCTGTACACACAGTTTTTGCATATCGGTCAGAAAGTAGTAGCTGTTTGATGCTTTTTTTTTGTTTTTCTAGAAATCGCTTAGAAATAGCCTTTATATTACTTCTTCCTGACGTAATAAACTTTACGTTGCCAACTCTTCTGAAATGCATTAGAATAATATTAAAAATAATATCATAAATACTTTAACATATCAATATATATATATATTAGTCCTAATAGTTAAAAGATTTTGCACCTTTGCTCTCGGATGCGTGAAATCCCGAATTCTTATGATGACTGCCAAATACTTCCTCCCTGGTGGTCATGTTCATAACTTCAGATAAGGTCGACGTACACTTGAGATGCATTTCTCCGTTTTGAAAGTGTTTCTTTCTTACAACAAATCGGAGCCCTAGAACATTTGTGATCGTTCCATCTCTGCCCAGAAGGAAGGGATAGTTCACCAAGTACCTGTTGTAGGCCTAAATGAAAACAAAGATATTCTGGCAATAAATCGTAAAGATAGAACAATAATAGTACGAACTACGCTGAATTATCGCCTTCTTTATTTGCCAAGAGTTATTTTGAAAAGAACTGAAAAGCAATTTTAAACATTACACAACATCTTTCAGCACTTATTGCTTGAAATGTTTTGTAAACTGATAATTCTAGTCAATGCCAGAAGGTGACGCTTGGCTGTTATTATAACAGATCATTCAGTTAGAAGAACAACTAACTTTAAAACAATCATTAGGATCAGAAACGGCATCGTACAGCATGTATTTTAGTAATGTTCAAGGAAAGCCGATCCATTTAATAAAAAGAATATTAGAGTTCATTTTTCTTACATGTTTATTGTTTATTTGTAATTAAGCACAAAGCTACACAATGGGTTATCTGTGCTCTGCCCACCACGGGTATCGAAACCCGGATTCTAGCGTTGTAAGCCCGCAGACATACCGCTGTCTTACATGTTATTCTGAAAACTCGTAGAATGATCTTTACTGGAGACGGAAAATTTTACATGTTTGTTTTGGAATTTCATGCGCAGCTTCTCAAGTCTATCTGCATTAACTTTCTCTAGCCTCCCAGTGGCACAGCGGTATGTCTGCGGACTTATACTACTAGAAACCGGGTTTCAATACCCATGTTGGGCAGAGCACAAATAGCCCTTTGTCTAGCTTTGTACTTAATAACAACAACTTTCCCTAATTTAGAAATGATAGACTAGAGGGAAGGCAGCTAGTCAATACTGCCAACGCTTGGGATACTTTTTTACCAACGAAAAGTGGGATTGAACGTCACATTGTAACGCTCTCACGGCTGTAGGGATTGTGAGTCAAGCGCCAATAGAAAGATAGCAAAATCGAATTTTCTTAATTCTGATACAATCATTATTCACAAATATTCAACACAGTAATATGAGCAAACATTATTATACTGGTGAAACAGTTGAACATAAGTACTTTGATTATCGTGTTAGAGTTACAAATCGTTAACATTCTGACATTTAAGAAGTTCGACTCACAATCTGCGAGTCGCTGGTCACAGAAAACACGCTCCTTCTTTAAGCCACGTGGTCGTTATAATGCGACGGTCAATCCCACACAATCTGTGAGTCGCTGGATTCAAGCAGGTCACAGAAAACACGCTACTTCTTTAAGCCACGTGGTCGTTATAATGCGACGGTCAATCCCACACAATCTGCGAGTCGCAGGTCACAGAAAACACGCTACTTCTTTAAGCCACGTGGTCGTTATAATGCGACGGTCAATCCCACACAATCTGCGAGTCGCTGGATTCAAGCAGGTCACAGAAACACGCTCCTTCTTTAAGCCACGTGGTCGTTATAATGCGACGGTCAATCCCACACAATCTGCGAGTCGCCGGATACAAGCAGGTCACAGAAAACACGCTCCTTCTTTAAGCCACGTGGTCGTTATAATGCGACGGTCAATCCCACACAATCTGCGAGTCGCCGGATCCAAGCAGGTCACAGAAAACACGCTCCTTCTTTAAGCCACGTGGTCGTTTTAATGCGACGGTCAATCCCACACAATCTGCGAGTCGCCGGATACAAGCAG